ACAAATGCTACGGCACAATTTAACTGTTAATCTTAACCGATCTTCTTTGAAAACAGATAAGAACTGTTATTCTTATCTGTTTTTAAAGAAGATCGGTTAAGTTATTCTTATCTGTTTATAACAACACATTTAAAATAGAATCATGTTATGATAACGAAACAAGTTAGTTTCCAGCTGATTTACCATGAATCCTTTAACCTTTTGAGCGGCAAAGTCGCCTATACTTGACCAACACCTGCGGGCCCTGAGCGCCAACGACGTCTATAGTTGACAAAAAACCCGGCTCCGAAAAATATGAAATATAGATATTGGAAAATTATTACAGGTATTTTAATTCTACACTCCTCAAAATAGGAATAACCCAGCAACATGTGAGTATAAAAAACAAGTCTTCTAGAGCCACAAGTACTAAGAAACATTGAACTAATAAAAATGGATTTTTATCTAAGCAAATACTATGTCCAGCACGCCAAAGTCGTCTATGGTTGACCGCTAGTGTCAAACGCGGGAGGCATAGATTTCTTGAAAACTATCCAATATTCAGCTCAATGGTGTTTTTTTTTTCTATTATTATTGATATTTGAATAAAATTAAAGGTTATAAACATAAAACTATAATTAGCTACATGAATAAAAAAATGTTATCAGATTATCTTCGCATAATAAATCTAATATCTCAACTCTAGCGCATCTTTAACGCGTCATCGAAAATCAGTTCACTGGGCACCGTGATCAAGGATAGACGACACCCTGATGACGTCATAAGTGATTACCGAGAAAAGTAGAGCAATGCAACATGAACGATTCCTCAGAACTATTCGGATTTTGGAAAGCGTCGATGATGATGAATTTTGATTTTTGATTGATGAATTGAATTTTTGATTGATTGGTGAACAAATATGTTTATTTATTCCATGACCAAGATTTTAGTATTATAAGGCTGATTTACCTAGTGCGAATAATTATATACAATTGTTGATTAATGAATAATTATGTACCTTTTTTAATAATAATACAAAATTACAATTAATGTTTTTTTTACTTAGGGTGTGAAGAGCAATTTTTCATTTTGTGTTGTGCCATTTTCTTTCTCAGTCTCAAAATCATCTAGCAGCATCAGCATCATATCAAATCCCCATTGTCATAAGAGTGTAAGACTTTTCTTCTGTGCGTCACTTGGCCTACGCCTTCCCCGACACATAAAATATTATGAATCGATGTCTGTATATTTCGGTTAGATCGATTTTGAAATCGATACACAACATTCTAAGAATGTTTCAAAAGGGAAGGTCAGCTACGCCGTTGTCGTCCAGTCGCGACAGTGTCGTCATTAGGATGGAGAGTAGTGCTAATATTTACTACTATTTTATTGTTATTGTTTGTTTTTTATTTATGTTTATATGTACAAAGTACATATATAAAAAGAGTGGAAGACGGCACAAGATTAAATAAAACATACAGTTTATTAAGAGTCATTTATAGCATAAAAAACCAACAAAAACAAGTTATTTCACGTTATCGATATATCAACTCTTGGCAACACTATTTTGTTTTGGCGCTTTGGCGTACAGGACACGGTAATGCGTTTTTGGCGTGGCGCTCAAAAGGTTAAGGCTTAACAAAACGCAACTGCACAATTTTTATCAATTTCAAGACAAAAACAACCGTTGTTAACGGCTTGGTTGAAAACGTTAACAACCGCCTTCACATCTGTAGTTATGATAATTAAATAAGCGATTTAATAGCTGATTTACAATGAATTCTATGCAGTATAACATAACGCTACTGCACAATATAACTGTTATTCTTATCTTTTCTTAACAATACATTTAAAATGAAATCATGTTACGATAATTAAACAAGTGAATTTCTAGCTGATATACCATGAATTTTTTAGAGCTTCATAAAACACTACTGCACAATTAACTGTTCTTAAAAATACACTTAAAATAGAATTTAAATAAAAAAGGAAGATACATTTTAAAAAGCGAGCAGAAGTTAAAACACCTCCAAGATTATTCTCTTTTTATGAAATTATTAATCGAATAATAATCGAATCGCTATGGATATTATGATGTTATGATAATTAAACAAGCGAATTACTAGCTGATGAAATGAAATAAGACAGTCGATTTTTAATTGTTTTTGGACTACTGGTAGGCAGTCAGTCCTTAATTATTAAATAATATAGGGCATTAAGTTTTAAGTAACATTTACCTATATTTGAGTTTAAAGTAAACAAATCTATTTTATTTTGTTTACTTTGTCTTATTTTTTTTTATTTAATATTATTTCAGTTGCCATCGTCATCGCGTGAGTGTCATGATTGCGAAGGATTGATAAAGCAGCAACACGTTAAACTTTAGAACGGGAACCATCTGAATCATCTAGTCCATCCTTGTAGCAATCTAATAGTCTAAGATCCCGATATAAAACGACCTTCACCGAGATGCTTATTTAATGAAACGTATTTTATATTTAATTTAATATGTCAATAAATATAATCCATATGGGTTGCCTAGCAAATTTCAGTCCAGAGTATGTTTAATTAATAATTAAAAAAAAATTATTTTTTTTAACATTTCACCGGTATGATTATTAGATAAATTCTATACCAATCGAAAGTATGAAGCCCATAGAATATGCAAACGTTAGGTTGCCTATTCTTTTCCGGTCACAACTATCGGGTTGCCGGGTATAAACAGGTAAATCTGTACTAGCATTTTGCAACGGTCTGTTTATTGAATGAAATTTAAACGAAATTAAAGATTATTTTATTCTGAACACGGTGGTATAGGGTTGCCTGCGAAAAATCAGTCCAGAATTGCGGTTGTCGAATTTTAAAAAGTAAAATATTGCTCCGAGTGAATGTGTGCGACTGAGAGGTCCACACCGACATTCCATGCGATAGAAGAGGACACAACATAGCAGCTGTTTAAAGTCCGACCACTTAAAGAAAGAGAAGAGAGAAGAGAAAAGAGAGTGCGCATGCTATTTGGGCTTGGAAAAGAAAAGGATAGCGATAGACTCGTATATACTATGCATCATTTTGAAGTAGAGTGTCACTATAAATACAAAAAACGTGCTACTATTTATTGTTGGAAAAAATGGCAAAAAAGTGTTTTTTGTGTGGATTGGATGATGTAATAATTGATTTTAATGATGAAACTTTTAAAAACTGTGTATTAAAGTTAGCTTTTCGTAAAAAAAACACTTTAAATACAATTTTGTTGAGCTACCCAGAGCGTCTCTTCAATTTGTAGGTTATCATACCGCGTGCTACAAAAAAAGTGACAGTTTTGAATAAAAAATATAACGAAGAATTTCTTAATTTTAGTGCTGAATATACAGTAAGTACATAATAATTGAATCTTTAAAATTATCTTAGCTAATACATCTTCTATATTTTTTTCATGTTTAAATAATTGTTAGTAAAATTCACCTATGGTTTTGTTAATTTTCGACACACATAATTTTTTTGTAATTTACTTAAAAACGGTAATTTATAAATTAAACAAGAAAATGATCTGATTTCCTTTTTTTTTGTAACAATGGCATAATGTAAAATAATGAGGATGTTTTCAATCAACTATTTTTATCAAGAAGTTTATAAAATTTATATATCAAACATTTTCATTTAATCGCAATTTTTTTTTAGGAGCATACCAATGTATCTACTACTGAAGAAGAATCAAAACAGTTGAACCCTAGTGTCGATTCCTGTGCTACAGTTGCTGAAGATGAAACGAGTAATGTTGAAGACCTGTCCCAAACTTCTGGGGACTTTGACGAGGTAATAAAATATTTTTTGTTATTTTTTAAGCTTTTAAAAAAATTATATGAAAATCTATTAATTGAACTTGTATTTTCAATTATATTTATTTTCATCGATTTTTACTCAAAGAATGATTTAATTCTTTTAGGAGCAGTCAACATCAACAGCATCGACATCAAGCAAAATTATTTGCCTTTTTTGTGACCACAGCCAAAAGAGATGTGGGAAGAAGCTGGTCAATCTTACTGTCCCTAATGATGACAAAGTACCACTACAGATAAAAAATATAGCGCAAAATTTTGACGATTCGGTGATTCTCTCCAAACTTCAACATCAAACTATCGCGTACCATCTGCCTTGTTACGCAGTGTATCAATCGAAAAATAAGCGGTCCACGGAAGAATCTACCCATTCCAACTATAGTAAATATAGACAGTTACATCAGTTGGCCTTTCAATCCATATCGAATTTCATTGAAACAGAAATAATTGAAAACAACAAGGTTATGTATTTGGCTCAATTATTTTTAAGATATCAAGCTTTATTGTTAGAGTTTGGAAATCATGAAATTGATTTCGAAGATATTCAAGATCCGTACAATATTTCGGGACCTCAACAAACTAGACCAAAAAATTTTTTTGCAAAGCCTTAAAAATTATCGCTTTAAAGAGGCTCTGGTGCTGTTTCTGGCTGATTATTGGGAAAATGACCATTTGGTAACAATAATCCAAAACAAAAAAATCTTTTTAACCGTCGACCATCACTGCTACTCTTATCAAGTTCAGGAAAATTCCGTAAAAAAAACTGAAGAAACTAATTATGAATGTCATCACGAAGAGGCAGATACAAGGATTATTTTTCATGCTTCTAAAGCGGAACCAGGCTCAAGGATTTTAATTAAAGCCTCTGATACTGACGTTTTAATAATTTTGTTAGGAAATATTCACAAACTTATCGAATCAGAAATTTGGCTTGCCGGTTCAGCAACTAGAAAGACTAATAGTCAAACTGTTGATTGCATTAATTGCAACGATTTAGCGTTGAAGTTGGGAATTAAATTATGCCAAAGTCTTCCCGCCTTCCATGCATTTACAGGTTGCGATTACACGGCAGCCTTTTACAACAAAGGGAAGGTAAAACCTTTTCAGCAATTTTCGAAAAATGAAAAATATCAAACAGTTTTTGCATCACTAACAGATGCTGCTGATATTTTCATTGATGAAAAAATGAAGACCGTTCAAGAATTTACGGCTAGTATGTACGGTATCAGGAACTGCACCAGTGTGAATGATGCGAGACATCGTATATTTATGAAAAATTACTCTGCAAAAGAAGACAGCGAGCACTTTTTAAAAAAAATAAAAGGCTTCGACTCCAACTCCATACCACCATGCTGGATATCATTAACTCAGAAAATTTTACGAACTATTTTCGTAAATTCCATGTGGCTTAATGCAACGGATCCAATATGCGTGAAACTTGAGCCTGAGAACTGCGGATGGTTCTTAGATGAATATTTAAAACCAGTAGGATTCATTGGGGATCATACACCTTTAAAGATAGAAGACATTGTCGAAAAAAGTGAAACAGAGAGTGATGACGAAGAAGATTCAGAAGTTGAAGATCGTAGTATTATGTCCGATGACTCGGATTCTGAATAATTTAAAAAAAAAATTGTATTTTTAATTTTTTACAATAAATAGAAGTAATTTTTTAATTGTTGTTTTTTTATTTTGTCTTCTTATAATAAAAATAAAATTTGCAAGATTACCCTAATTAAAAAAAATTCACTTTTATGGGTTTTGAATTTTCTTCCAATAGTTTCAATTGATTTCAATTTCTCTGTTTACATTTATAGATTTATAATTTGCATGTAGTAATTTTTTTTTAATTTTTTTCAATCAATATTTTTAATCAGGGTAGTATTATATATGTATCACTATAACCTTCTTTTTTACTAAAGATGTATATATATTTTAGTGTCACATAAAAAATATACACACAAATAATTAATTGATTAAAAAAAATTAAATAACATTTCTCTATTTAAATAATAAACTACTCCAAATTATGCATAATATATACGAGTCTATCGCTATCCTTTTCTTTTTCAAGCCCAAATAGCATGCGCACTCTCTTTCTTTAAGTGGTCGGACTTTAAACAGCTGCTATGTTGTGTCCTCTTCTATCGCATGGAAAGGTCGGTTGGGACCTCTCAGTCGCACACATTCACTCGGAGCAATATTTTACTTTTTAAAATTCGACAACCGCAATTCTGGACTGATTTTTCGCAGGCAACCCTTTACCACCGTGTTCAGAATAAAATAATCTTTAATTTCGTTTAAATTTCATTCAATAAACAGACCGTTGCAAAATGCTAGTACAGATTTACCTGTTTATACCCGGCAACCCGATAGTTGTGACCGGAAAAGAATAGGCAACCTAACGTTTGCATATTCTATGGGCTTCATACTTTCGACTGGTATAAAATTTGTCTAATAATCATACCGGTGAAATGTTTAAAAAAATATTTTTTTTTAATTATTAATTAAACATACTCTGGACTGAAATTTGCTAGGCAACCCATATGGATTATATTTATTGACATATTAAATTAAATATAAAATACGTTTCATTAAATAAGCATCTCGGTGAAGGTCGTTTTATATCGGGATCTTATACTATAAAGTGAGTAATGTATTGAACCTAGAACAACAAAGCTTAGATCATACATCATACAATATACTGCTGCCTAATTTTGTAAGAGCACCACTCACACAAAATCAATGTTTTTTCCTGGTTGTAACAATTCCAATCAACTCACTGTTCCATCAGCATTGCGGGTATGTATTTTTGTGAATACAATTACTATGTACCTCCAGAATGTAGAATCAGTAACTACCATTTAAATAGTAACTCTTGGTATTTACTTTTAGAATTAATATATAACCATATTAAAACATTTAGTGTAGCACAAATTATAGATTTTTCTACATTATTGTAAGATAATATTTACCATCATATAGACTTTGAAAATATTTACAATATGCCCGAATATACTGTACATTATTATCTACGCTTATCAAAGGCACAATGCCAATAAATTCTGTCTGAAGTGCCCAAAATGTCAAGTAAACATAGTGGATGCTTTGCACTTGCTGTATATTTGATAAAAGTAAGAACAGGAGATAGTGATGAATGCATATAGGCATTATTGCAAGTACCAAGAAACAAATTAGAGCGGCTCATGAATATGGCCCAAGAAATATTAAATCAGGATGTTGTTCCTATGAATTTTATCCATCGTTACCACTCTCTGTGCCAAATTCTATTCAGTAATTATGATATTATATCTGAGGCAAATAATTTCTTAGCTTTCCTAGATGTTTTTGTTATCCAAAATCCTAACAACATCATAGGTCACACTGTGTATAGAAAAAAGACCCATACAAACTGATATTTAAGGGGTGAATCTCACCATAATCCTTCACAGTTAGTTACCATGAGCAAATCTTTGTTACAGAGAGCATATGGGATCTGTGAGAACAAGCACCTGGCCGCGGAGCTTCAGCACGTCAAGCAGGTTCTGCACAAAATCAAGCTTCGGGTCCCACGTCTTCGTCACAGTGACCGAGTGAAGCCGACCGCAGTTGAGCGTGTGCCTGCTGTACTACCGTATGTCAAGGGTGTCACCCCAACCAGATAGACATACATCAGATTTGATAGACCACAAATCCTCGTTAAAGAACATTAATTCCTACCAAGGATGATATGTGAGGCTACTGAAATTAAAAAAACATCCTAATTTCAGTAGAGAAGGCGGTTGGGTACTGCCACCTGCTTGGGACACTATAATTAATAAAATTAAAACAAACCCCAAGCATACCACTGCAAGACTTAAAGATAGAGTAAGTTCAATCTGCGTAGATTGGACTATAAAAATAATAATAAAAAGCTGAAGGTACTCCATGTCCCAATACTGACATTGGGATGGCAGTCACCTCAGTACCCCGTGACCATGGGTGCTATAAAGCACCTGAAACGTCAGGAATTAATAATAATAGTATAATAATAATATAGCCCTTTATTTCCGAACTTTGGGGTTACATAATATTTGTGTTTGAGTTCCTATTGTAACACTAGTTAAAGTAAGTCCCTCTGTTTGGTGTGCCTTTTGGCATAGGCCTCCAAAAGAAAAATCACGCGTCGGGAATTAAAAGTTAAAGAAATTAAAAGCAATAAAATTGGTAAAATAGTCGTTAAAAAGCTGTATTTGTGAAAATAAAAAGCTTTATATCATAAAAATCCCGACTTTTTTTAAACCAATTCCTTAACCATTTCATTATTTTAATTGCATATTATCATTTCCATATGCTTTTATATGTGGGCACCCATGGCCGAAGTGTCTATGAACAGTGGGCATCCCCCTTTATTTCGTCAAGTTCATTGCTTAGTTCTTCTCGCAAAAAACGTCCGTAGTTTTCACCGCTCATTGTGTGGTCTAGGAAATACGGACCAATAATTTTGTCACCTATAATTCCCGCCCACACGTTGATTTTCCATCGGTGTTGAAAGTGGCTTAGTTTATACGAATGCGGATTTGTCGTTGACCGTAAGTGTTCATTATGAGCATTAAATACACCTGTTCTTACAAAAGAGTATTCATCCGTAAAAAGTACGCGGTTCAAAAACTCAGAATCTCCTTCAACCTTATCAAGTAACCATCTACAGTAATCCATTCTCGGCTCGTAGTCGTTAGGAAGAAGACACTGAACTCGACGATAATGATACGGGTGCTGGCCATCATCTTTGAGGGCTCTCCAAACGCGCATATGGTTCACACCTAGTTCACGTGCCACCGAGCGCGTGCTCCACGTCGCATCTTCCTCAAACATGTCGAGAATGTGCTCCTCGATGTCGTCGTTGTACATCCTCGGTCTTCCTGAATCTGTACGTTGTTGTTCACGGCCATGCACACTGCCATTATTGTACATACGAATGTGAATTCGTTGGAACGTCATTGCCGACGGCAATTGTATATTTCGTGGAGTAGCAAAGCACTCCCCGTAAAGTCTTCGTGCTGCTGTGTCGTGAGTAAGTCATCGCACACAAGTCACTCACGGCGGAATATTAATTTCGCAATATAAAACACAACCGCCAATATCAGTGCTTGATGCTTGTTTGTTTGCATAGACGTGGCAAAGCTATTGTACTCTATAACATAATTTTGATATTTTCTAAATCGATAAAAATTTCGTGATTTTTTATGTTATTTTTTTAATAATAGTTATTATTTATTTATTCATATCAGACAGCGTCCGTAAGTGTTATTAAGAAATTAAATTATAGGTAGAAATAATAAAAATACATTAAAACACTTTTATAACAAGAAACATTTAAAAAATTGTGTTATAAATCCACACAATAACAAATACTTAAACTATTATGCTGTTATGTTTTTCAAAATCTAATAATTAGCAATTTTTATCGACCGACGATTAACAATACTTATTTATATTACTATTCTTGACCACTGAATTGTGACAAAATTTTATGTTTATAAAACTTCCCATGTTTTTAAATATTACTACTAAATATTAGCACAGAATAAATAATAGATACGACGACCACAAAGATGTTGTTCAATATGTCCACCTCTCACACATTTGCGGCACCGGCTTATATGTTTTATCGACCGACGATAAACAACCCTTATTTTTATTTTTATTCTTGATCACTGAATTGTGACAAAATTTTATGTTCATAAAACTTCCCATGTTTTAAATATTACTACTAAATATTAGCACAGAATAAATAATAGATATTGGATCAAAATTAGTTAATCGGCATATAGCGGACGCTTCTTTTTATCACTCGAAGAGTGGAGTTTTTTTTGGGTTTTTCCTAGTACCTAAGTCCTTCGTCGGCTTTCGCTTTTGTGTTCAAAGAGCGCGCAAAACGCCGCGTATATTACCTATTAATTTTGTTTTGTTTATTATCATTGATTTATATGTTACACTAGATAAGTAATTTCCGCGCCAAAGCGTTGTAACTTCACATAAGGCCACAGCCTTATACTCAGCGAACGTCGGTTCAGTGTTCAAGGTGACGCCGTCCGAGTTAAGCCGAACGATTCACAACAAAAAATGGGTAAATGCGTAGTGAAAGAATGCGTTTCAAGGTCACAAAAACATAATAAATCAAGCGGAATCACTTTCCATACGTAAGTTTTAATTTATATATTCATATTAACGTTTAAAACACTAAAAAATTAAATAAAATATCGAATATTGCAATTTAGGTTCAATGTTGCCACTTTTCCGCCTTTGTGATTTTTCCACATTAATGGGAGACTGTATAATTTATGGAATAAGTTAATTTTGTTTTAAAATAAACAAGTAAAATTGATTGCTTAAAAATAAAAACTATGTTTCAACCTTTATACAAAATAATTATTCTTATTTTAGTTTATTCATGAATGGTCTATTAATTATATTTTATTATTTTATATTATATTAATAAATTTGCAGTGTACCTAAAGACGCAGCACGCCGTAAGAAGTGGGTGGAAATAATAAGGTTGTTAAGAAAGGAGACTGACTGGGTGCCTTCTAAATCTACTGTCATTTGTTCTAAGCACTTCCGGAATCAAGACATACTTG